CAAACGGCGCTGCGGGTTAATGGGAAAACCAACAGCCCCTGCTGCCTCCCCGTGTGTCCCCCCACCCGCGGGGCTCCTGCCCAGCCTCGACAGCGCAGCAGTGCCAGCCCCTCCAAAAGCACAAAGTCAAAGCTCTTCCTGCCACGTCCCTCCAAGGCGGTGGGGATGCAAGAGCCAGGGGAGGGGACTGCGCCTCCGGCAGCCGGTCCGGCGAGGACAGAGCTACGTCTCTTAGGACAAACCTATGTCTCTTAGGACAAACCTCCTTACGCTGTGCTCATCATGGGCAACATCAGGGCCTGTTCTGCAGGGGCCAGCTGAGGAGCGATGGGAGACGGGCTGTGTTCAGCTCCCCCATTCCTGTGTGACCTTGAAGGAGTCCTTTATCCTCTGCAGCCTCCCGGGTCCCTCCTGCACACGCGGGGACGAGCGTTCCTCTTTCCCCGGCCTTTGTCTGCTTTCATTTAGCCCGCACATGAGGAGGCAGGGGCTGTCTGGCTGTACATCAGCCAGCATAATAGAGCCCTGTCCTCGGCAAGGGCCTGCAGGCAGTAATGTAATAAAAGCAATAATAGTAATAATAATAATGGACGATGGGCATTAGGCTGAGTACTGGTTAAGCGGCTACAAAAACAGATGTAATATTATCCCACAGAGCCGAGGGAGCATCATCAGACATTCCTTGGAAGGGGACTTGGCCGGGAGGCGACTCACAGCTCTTCCCGCTTGGTTTTCAGCTGCCGCGTCCAAGCGAGGGCTCGGTGTGCAAGAAGAGCCGTGGAGAGAGGCTTTTCCTAAAGGCACTGCACGCTCACGCTTAACTGTGAGTCCTCCGCTATCCATCGCTCCTGGCTGCTGTTAGACACATCTCAAGACAGAGCCAGTGGTTCAGAAAGGCAGCTGAGACCCTGCAGCACCCAGGGGCCTATCGCCCATCCCGTCTCTCCAATGAGCACTAAAATGGATCCCTTGCGGCCATTAAATATCCCCTGGCATTTTCCATGAGCAGAGGGACATTAAACTCCATGTCTTAGCCAAATGTCAGTCTGGGTAATTTAATTCTGCCTCCCTAAGTAGTATGAATTGAACTGACCTTCTGCCTAGGCAACTGTATACCCGCGTTCAGAGACTCCGAATTTTGTACAGACATGGGCGCATTTGTCCTCATGCAGCCCCTTCGAGATGCTCTGCGCCTTAATCGCTCCAGAGCTGGAGCTGGGAGGATCAAATGACCTTCCCAAGGTCACACAAGGGATGGGTGGCAGATCTGGGGAAGGCACCAATGCCTGCAAGGCTCCGTCCAACACTGCCTTCCTCCTTTTAATGCTGCGTGTCTTCTGCTAATTTGCCCCAGGCCCACACGAGGAGAAAGGCGCTAAGGTGGGATGCCAGTGTTGCTGCGTGGTGGTGATGCCCCTGCTTTCCTGGGGGATGCATGCGCCAGCTACCTGGTTCTTGGGCTGAAACACAAACGAGGAAGGTGGGGTTGTGTCCTTGGAGGGCCACAAATGTCCCCATGCTGTCATGTCCCAGCCATCATGAGGGAGGTGGGAGCTCCTGAGACACCACCTCACTCCTCTCTGGCACCTTCCTCTCCCTCAAGGCTCTCTCCCATCCAGCTCCTCCAGCCCCTTTCCCACCTCCTCCCGCCTTCGTCTGGAGCCCTGATGCCTGCAGAGCTTTGCAGAACCTTGCTCTCCCCACATTCACCTTCATTAATTCACCTTTGCAGAAGACGTAATTATGAAAACAATTTCCAGGAGCAAGATGAGGAGGAAGGCAGCCTGGATCTCCTACCAACGAGAGGTGGGGGCCAGAGCGCTGGAAATGCTTTTGCAGTCATCACTGAAAATGACAATGCAGAGTGACCCCTCGCAGCTGGCTGCTAATAACCAGCACGGCACAACCGCCAGCAAGGCATGGGCTCAGGATAGCAAAAGAAAGTACCAGTCATTTTCCACTCAATTAGAGCCCATCTTCTGAGCGGCTGTGGAAGGGATTTTCTGCTGGGGGCTCCAGGGAGGGATGAAGGAGAGAGGAAGCAAAACCAAAGGAGGTCACTCCTTCCCAGGGGGCTTTTTGTGTTTGCCTGGGCCGGTGGTCTGACCCAGCAGTGCATCTGCTCCCGGCTCAGACGGTGCCGGCAGGGAGAGATGCTGGCCCTGCACTGCTCTCACGTTGGTTCCAGCCAGGGTATGAGATCGGGGCTTCACCCCTGGGGTTTAACTTCCATGCAGAAGGTGTGATGGTTTTCTCTAGGCTAAGGGGAAAACACAAGGCAGGCCCTGACATCCCCAGCCCTGGGATTTTAGCAGAAGCATCATGCAGCCGTTGGTTGACACCGTCTCTCCATTTTAGCAGGATGCGTGCACATGTTGCAATGCTCCCACGCAGCATTTTTCCAACGAGCCGATCCAAGGGCTTTGTCCTGAGCCATAGGTTTTCCACCCCTCCATCTAGCAGAGCCAAACCCAGCACAACTTCCAAGATGAAACCTCAGCCCAGCTGATGCTGGTAGAGATCCCCAGGGAACCTACTGGGTGCTGGATCCACACTGCCTGCACCCACCACGCCGGGACACAGCCCCAGGTTTGCAGCTGCATAGAGCCAGAAGAGCCACTGGAAAGCAGAAGCTTCTTCAAGGTGAACAGGCAACCTGGGGCAAAACTGCATGGCAAAATACGCTAACGCAGCGCGCTTGTTTTAATTGGAAACACCGAGACAGCACAAGTAGAAGCTCCGTTCAGGGTAGGTGGATGTTGATCGGTGGCAGCTGAGTTCATCTCGTAACGACCCTGCTAAGCCTGCCCACTGCCTGCCTGAATGCTCCGTCACTCTGTCCTTCCTATGCACAGCGGCTGTACCAAATCCCGAGGAGAAGAATTTCATAGCTGTACGGAACATGGAGATTTTCAGCCCATGAGATATTGAGGTGTTTATGGGAGTGGGGTGGCTCCAGGGTGCAGGACACAGCCCTTCCTGTCAGCACCAGCCCATCGCCCCTTCCCCAAGTGCCATCCCGGCGGGTGTTAAGAGCATCTTCCAGGTGGTGATGGGAGGTTTCACCTACCACCACAACTCCTGGGACGTGTCCAGGCACCCTGCACCCCTCCAGGCACTCCTGCAAGAGGCAGCAATATGGCACCCATGCTCACGGCTGTCCTCTGCTCACCACCGCTCCTCTGACCCGGGCTGAGTTCAAACCGCTGGGCTGGATCCAGCTTGTGCTGGTGCCGGGATGCCCCGGGCTCGCAGCTGGGTGTGCTTCCCTGGGGGGTTGCCCTTGTGTGCTGGACGGAGGACCAGATGTTTGCGAAGCCAGGCAGGGCATGGGTGGGATGCAGATGTTACAGGACGATGCCCTGAACTCCTGCAGGAGGGAATGCAAGGAACTCAGAAAATGCAGCTTAATTGCTGCCCTGGGCCCTGTGGGCTGGAGGTTACCTTCATTTTTAAGGAGTGTATCTTCCACAAACACAACAATTTCCATTTAAAGGCACCCAAGTGATTGAAACTCCAACACTTCCCTGCTAACCTCCTTGCCTTGTTATCCACGTTTGCAATGCACCGATGAATACAAGCTTCAGATGCAGGGACATGGCAGGACAGTCCCTGCTCCAAAATAATTTCCCTGCTCTGTTCAGAGCTCGCACCTTGTTTCTTGTTTGACATTTTCCAGGATTTGGGGTAGAAATGTAAAATCTGGGATAGCAGTGGAGCTCTTCTTCTTGCACTCCAGCACTTCCAGCCGCTCAGGACTGGGACATGCAGCACAGCGAAAGCAAAGACTGACTGCTGGCTGCACTTCAAGGATTCATTTATTTGTTTTTCTGATCCAGTAATTGCCACATGTAACCAGCAAATTGTTTTTCGACGTGTTCCTGAATTCCATTCTCTCCCGTTTTTCCTGTTCTGTGAGGATGGACAGTCTTGTCACAGCATGGGCTGTGATCCAGCTTTGGCTGGTGGCAAAAGCGCTGTGCCCAGCTCCCTGCTTTGCTGTTCTCAGCACTGAATTGCTCGGTCCACGCCAGTCCTTCAAAGTCAGAGGAGCATCCGCACCGTGGGTCCGGACATGGTCGGGCAGCATCCCTGCGGCACAGCCGGTGGCATGGACACCCTGACCCCCCAAGACCCGTTGCTCCCTGTCCCACATTGCACAGCACCCACTGCCCTGGTTGGGCAGTGAAGAGGTGTAAAGGGGGAAATAGGGTTTTAAGAAGCATGTTAGGTAAGGGGTGGTGGAGGATGACTTTGGGAGGGATTTATCCTGACAATAAAGCTCTCTGAGGGGAAGAGAATGGGACGTTTTAATTTCTCTTCCAATCCTAATTCCCATGACTCTGCTTCCAGCACAAACACTAAACCTTTCTTTTAGGAACGCTCATAGGGGCACGAAGGGCAATACCATTTGGACCACAGCGGTTTCACAGCCCTCTGCCCCACTTCACGGCAGTCAATTCCCCAACCTCCACCAGGGATGAACCCAGAAACCATGGGAGACTTGGACCACAGGGGATGGGACCAGGCAGGGCACGAGGCCACCGACGGGAGCAGCACAGGGGCTGCCAGTGGGCATCCTGCCTGGTTCCTCCAGGATTCTCAGGTGCTGGCATCACTTACAGCAGGGGCGTGAGAATCAGGGGGGCACGGGGAGGATACCAGCGTGGCTCAGACCCTGGCTCCATCTCATGGAGGGACAGGCAGAAGCTCCATTTGGAGAGCCTGCCCCTTCCCCGGCCCGTCGCTCCGGTGGGCGACGCTGCGTGCAGAGCAAGCCAACCCCAACACCGTCTCGGAGAGGCCAGTTGCTGCCGTGGAAGTTACCTATGGCGAATTCGTCAAAGGTGAGAGTGGTGGAGTTTTTGCCCAGAGCATTCGTGACTGTCAGAGTCACCTTGTACTTCACCGTCGAGAAGAGCTGGAGGTATCTGATGTGACACCTGTTTTTGGGAAAGACATCCTTCTCGCAGACCATCTCTCTCGTGCCGTGTCTGGAAAGTAGAGGCGAGAAGAGCTGTTACCTATGAAGCAGTGCTGGGGCAGGGGATGCACCCACGTTGCTGCAGGGAGGAGGCAGGAGCAGCAGCGCTGTGCCTGCTGTCCCCATGCACCAGCCCCTGCCGCAGCCAAAGGGCTGCTTCCCCCTGCCGGGGAATTTTGCAGGCTCATGTGCGATGATTAACCCTAAGCCTGCACAGAGAATGTCCTCACGCTGGCCCCAAGGCAAGGATGAGACCCTGCTGGGTTGGGGTTGGCTCTGCCCCCCCTGTGAGAGAAACGGGGTCTCCTTTCTGCAGGTGACAAAAGCCCCAGAAGACAACACACAGCATCAGCCTGTGCAAGAGCTGTGCCAGGACCTGGGAACAGGGTGGGGGACGATGCCATGCCACGCCAATTCTAGGTAAGGGACAACGCTGCTGCCCGGTCGCAGGCAGTGCACGGCAGAAGGGAGCGTGACTGTGCCAAATGTGCTGAAAAACAGCAGGCACAACCCCCACTGTGGACAAGTGGTGGAGAGAGGCCGGACCTGGGGGACATGGAAAGGCAACCTGGGAGCTGGGGACTTTCTTGGCCCCCTCTGGGGAAACTGGGACTTTCTGGGGACAAAGCATCTAGTTTGCATGTCCCTGGAGCATCCTTCCCCACGGCACCCTTCCGTCCCTGGCACTTACATGACGGAGATGTTGAAGGAATTGGGGATGTAGGTGGGAGTGGGCAGGTGCCAGCTGCAGTAGAAACCCTTTGGGTAGTTGTTGGACCGGCACATCAGCACTGGCTCCTTCGGGGGGGCTGCCAGGGAAAAAAGAGCAATTACCCATTGAGGTGGGGTTATCACCAGGTTCTGAACAAGGGTATGTCCCTCCACTCTCAGCTGCTGCCAGCTCGGGAGGGGACACAGTTGGCAAGGGGAGCCTGGTCTGTGTTATCAGCTGCTCGAAGCATCTGGGTGCCTTTGTACCATGTCTGCAGCTCACTGGCTCTAATGAGAGATGGAGTGGCAGAGGAGGCTGGCAGGTACCAGGGGAAAGTCTTCAAGGCTGCAACAGAGATGTCACTGATGGGGAGGAGGTGCAGCTCTCTTGACCCCATTAAGCTACAGTGCTCGTGCCTCTCTCTGCCATGTCCCCAGGGAGCGACTGATAAACTTGTTGGGGGATGATCCTCTAAAAGACCATAGGTCCTCAAAGGGTGGAAGAAGGACCACTTATGGTAAGATCAGGAGGAACAACCTAAAACGAGCAGAGAAAATTCAGCTCTCCAGGAGGACTGGCAGTGTTAATGCTTTCAGCAGTGGGGCAGAGCATCCCATCCCAAGGCTCTGCCTCCCAAGAGACACAGAGGCAACTGGAGACGGGATGAGAGCATGCATTGGGATGCAGCCTACCTTGGCCTCATCAGCCAGTCCTAGAGGTTAGAGGCAGAAAAAGATTTTAAACCCAATCAAGTGTTCACACTGCGCTTGGTTTTCCCAGACACAGGTGAACTCTGCACTCTTTGCTGGAGCACAGCCAGAGCTGCAGGAAGACTCTGCAAAATGCTGAGGGCCAGTGCGTGTGGGAGGATGAGGTGTGATACCTTTCAGCTGATAAATTTTGCTCTCGTAGGTTGGTAAAAACCTTATCTGAACTGACACCAAAGTCAAGTCCCCTTGGTATCTGGACACTTGCATTGCTAAGAGCAGTTTGGCTCTAACTGCAGCCCCCAGGCACAGTACCTTGCCATAAAATACACTCCTCGGGCCGGATGTGCACCAGGGTTCCCTCAGAAAGGCTGTCTGAATCTGTGCTGGTCCCTCTTCCCCTTCGTTAGCCCTCGTCCTCATGCTCCCACCTGGAATGTCCCAGGACATGCTCTTCTCTCCAAGCAGAGGTTTTGAAACAAACCTGGCAAACCAGGCAGCCTCAGTGCAAACATCGCTGCTCACCACCCCGCCACAGTCCTGGCAGCATTCCCCACCACACGACTAACTGCCCTCTTCCCTGCCGCTAAGGAAGATGCCTTACCCATGGCCGTCACCGAAAATGAGATGCAAACGGAGATGCAGTGATGCAAGGGAGCCACCCCCAGGCTGGGAAACTCCTTCCCCCGAGGGCTCCAAGGGCAAGTCACAAGTCCCATAGCACTGTGCATACATGTCTTGCTATGGAGCCACCCATACTGATGTTGGGGCAGGAAAAGCCGTGCAACAGCATCCCACCCCCCTGCATGCCATGCCAGAGAAGTAAAGGATGCAGTGAGTCAGCTAAGGGTGCCCTTGCTGCACCGGTGAGCTGGCAGCACCAGGAGGATGCCAAAGCCTCAAGATATTAATGCAAAAAATGAGACATCCCTGCAGCCATGTCTGTGCAAATCCCCCGTGTGGCACACAGCCCTGCTGGTCTCCTGGAGGTCTCTTCGGCCCCACTTAGGCACAGCCCAGCCCTCACCGGTGTAACACGCTTGGGGATGCATGTAGGACAAGAGCAGGACCCTGATGGTAGAGAGCAGCCCAATCATGCCCTCTGGAGAGGGCCAACCCAGCTGGTTTGCCATGAGCACGAACTGCCAGGGCGGGCTGCCGGGATCCTGGCTTGGCATTGTACAGCAGAGCCCATGGTCAGAAAATAATGATGAGTTTTGCTAGAAAAGCTTTCTGGGGGGATGCCACAAGCTCCAGCTGCAGCACTGCAGTCTGCAGAGGGGAAACTGAGGCACGGTGCTTGCATGCATGCCGGCACCCCTGGGGCAGGGATGGAGAGGGAGCAAGCAGATGACAAAAGAGCCAAGGGCAGCAGAGTCGGGGAGCAGG